CAAAAGGGGCAGGAACTGCCGTCGGTCTTCGATTACCGTTCTTTCCGGTCAGCAGTGATACTGCCGGTCTTCCCCTCCACCTCCTCCTCTTCTTCCTCCCATGCAGCATTTCACATTGTTTACACGCGTGTACCTTAGCAAGCGCCTCGGTGCCCCCTCCGCCGCGCCTTCATGGCGCCACGAGTGCGGAGCCGTAGCCGTAGCCAGACCCATTTCGACCGTGCCGAGTTTGAACCCAGGCCTCCTCGCGGCCGAGGCTCGGGGTACAGCTCGGAGGCCAGAGAAGGTTTGTACCCTGCGGGCGTGCGTCCCCGTCAGAGCGAGGATCCCATGCACCTGCTTAGCGTGCCCCGCCCAGCAGCTGGTCACCACGCAGACCGGCAGAATACGATGGCGCAACAGGAAAACGATCCCTTCCCCTCTCGATCCGCTCCGAGGCGGCTCCAAGTGACCACGGAGCTTCCCAAGCAGTCCCCCCCAAGAGGCCCCCAGACAGAGCCGAAGAGGGCCCCAGGAAGGGCTCCAGAGCGTCAGCGTCGTCGTCGTCGTCGCCGCCGCCGTCGTCGTCCTCCTCCCCAATCGAACAGAACCGATCCCCTCCCCTGTCCTCTCTCTCTCTCTCTCTCATCTCTCGGTACCTCCCCTTTCTCCCTCCCCAGACTCCCCCCCCCCCCTTCCATCACAACGGCTCTCCTGCGAGAGCCCAGCGTGCCAGCAGTTCCGACCAGAGCAACGTTTCCGAGAAGACTCGCCAAGATGTCCGGCGACCAGAGACGCCACAATCCTCCCCAAACCATGGGACAGGACAACCAGCAATGTTTTCCCAACCATCCTGTGGTGTTGGGTCCTCGTTTAGAATCAACAGCGCCCCACGTTCCTCCGTTCGGGGAGACGTAAGACTCGGGTACGGGGGACTCGGGTTGGCCTGACGGGGTCATCATGAAAATGACGAGGCCCAATCTAAAATTTGACGCGAGATCCCCCTGCAAACATCCCACGAGACCGGGCCGCTCGTCAAAAAACGCCGGTAAACCCGCGTTCCGGCTTACTTATCGAGTCGGACGTTTCCCCGATCCATCCTCCTCCTCCTCGTGCACCCTCCTTTGACCGCTCGCGCGGCCGGGGGGACACCGCGGACCACACCCAAGAGATGCCGTCGCCGCCGTCGTACCAAGCCCCCCAGGGATTTCCCCGGCACCGGCCCCGCGGCCTCCGAGGGCAAGAGAACAATCAGGGACGGAAGAGGGTGCGAGGGGCAGAAGACAAGAAAAAAAGGCGAGGAAAGAGGCGGAGGGAGAACAAGCAGAGCGAAAACGGACATAAGCAGGAGAAGGTGTGGACACCGACGGGACATTTGGCGTATCTCACGATCAATCACATTGACTCATACGATCGATCTCCATATCGATCTATCTCTCTGTCGATTTCACTCTATCGCAGTCACTATTGGTACCAGGGTCGGACTCACTCTCGATCTGACAACTGACCTCACGATCGAATTCGCCCGAAGCTTCGAATTCGGGATTCCTCATCCCCGCGCTCGTGATGTTATATATATATATGTATATATATATAGAAAAAGATTATCAGATAGTACATTGTATATGTAATTGTTTTTTGTTATGTTGACGCTCGCGGCCAAAAGTGAAATCGCCTAGCCGGATGTGTGTGTCTATCGGACATCATCAGGACACCAATCGGGGCACCAATCGGGACACCAATCGCGACATCAATCGGGACACCGACGGACACCGAGGGGACATCATTCGGTCAATATCATAGTCGAGCCTGTGACCAGAAATGCTGACATTGAAAACCGTTTGGCGTATCGGGTTCTCTGTGATCCCCCATAGTCTCTACGGGACCCGTCTCACGATTGATCTCACCATCGATCTCACCACGAGATCCACAGGACACCGACGGCACACCGACGGGACACCCGCGGAACACCGACGGGACACCGACGGGACACCAGAGGAGACCATTGGGACAACATCGGGGCACCAATCGATCTCACTGTCGACCTCTCTATCGACCACACCATCGGTCTTACTATCGATCTCACTCGCTCGATGTCACTATCAATCTCACCATCGGCCTCACTATCGATCTGACTATCGATCTCACCACGGGACACCGACAGGACACCGACGGAGCACCAACGGGACACCGACGGGAAACCGACGGGACACCGACGGAAACACCGACGGGGTCACGACGGGACAGCGACGGGACAGCCACGCAACACCAGCGGGACACCGACGGGACACCAGGGACAACCCGGCCACCGCCCGCCCACGGGGGAAGGAGAAGGGGCGGTCAACGGCTCTTGACCCACCCTGGCCACAGCTGGGTCAATCCTCTCGCCCGCCCACGCAGCTTCGCCTCGTCCGCACGCACGGCACGAAACCGAAACCGAATTCCCGTCGGTGGGCTACCCGTTCCGCTTGGATCTCACGCCCAACCCCCAACCTCCTGTACACACACATCTACACATTTATATGCATGTATGTGTATCTGATTGTCGATATATGTATATATATATATATATATATATATATATATGTACACCTATACGACCACCCTTCGGATGATAAGGAGGTTGTGGGGGGGAAAGGGGGGGAACCAGCATCTGACTTAATCGATCTCACTATCGATCTCACTATCGATCTCACACAACGGGACACCACGGGACACCAAGGGACACTTGCGATTTCACGATCGATCTCACTATCGATCACACTCAACGGGACACCACGGGACACCTCGGGACAGCTCGGGGCATCACATCGATCTCACTATCGATCTCACTATCGATCTCACTCAACGGGACACCACGGGACACCATGGGTCACCTCGGGGCACCACATCGATCTCACTAACGATCTCTCTACCGATCTCACTATCGATCGCACTCAACGGGACACCACGGGACACCACGGGACACCACGGGACACCTCGGAGCACATCGATCCAACTATCGATCTCTCTACCGATAGCACTATCGATCTCACTCAACGGGACACCACGGGACACCACGGGACACCTGTCGATCTCACTATCGATCTCACTGTTTGGGGCACTACGGGACACCTCGGGTCACCACATCGATCTCAGTATCGATCTCACTATCGATCTCATTCAACGGGATACCACGGGCCACCACTGGACACCACGGGACACCGCGGGACACCGCGAGCCATCGCCGGATGGACGGACGGGCGGGCGGGGAATAATCATTTGTCTTGGCTTCGCCCAAACAACGGCGCAAAACACGGGACACCACGGGACACCGCGAGACACCACCGGACGGATGGACGGACGGGCGGGCGGGGGAGAATCATTGTCTTGACTTCGCCCTAGCAACGCTCGCTCGCCCACGCAGATTCGTCTCGCTCGCCCACGCAGATTCGCCTCGCCCGCGCGCACGACACGAACGAATCGAAACGATTTCGAGGTTGGGGGTCTCCGTTCCACTGCGATCACACCCCCCAACCTCCGATATGTATATATATATATATATATATATATACAAGACTGCATTGGCGCTGCGCGCCATGCACCTTGGTCCTTTGAGTTCCACACGCAAGCGGAATGCGTGCGTGCGTACATGCGCGCATGCATGTGTACACGCGCACGTGCATGCACGTTCCGTATAAATGTCTAGGTGTATACAATATACTTACATGGTTGTGTGTATACAGCGTACATATGTACATATCTATTTATGTGTGTAAGGGTATAAACATGCATATGCAACTCGTACGGGGCATCCTCGGGCATCTTCGCTGCATGCCACGACACCCTCAACGACTGGGTCACAATGTAAAATGCCATGGGAGCAAAATCAATGAATGCTGGCATTCGGAAACATCGTGGGGGTGTTTTCGGGGCCCTCGTGGGCCGTTTTGGCGCCTTCATGGGCCGTCCTGGGGCCTTCTTGGGCCGTCTTGGGGAGCTTGGGCCCGCTGGACCCCCCTTTGGACCCATCTTGGGCACTTCCGGGGACCTCCCATGGCCCTTTGGGGTCTGCGCTGGGAGCCCTTGGGGGGTCTCTTGGTTCCATTATGGGCTGTCTTGGGGCTCTCGTGGGCGATCGTGGGGCCCGGCTCGGACGTCTTGAAGCTTTCCTGAGGGCCTTTTGGAGCGTCTGGAGGCGATCTCGGGGGCTTTGAAACCGTCTTGAAAACTGATGAAATCCGAAAGGCGAATATGCTAAAATTGTAAGTTGTACAAAAAGGAATGGGACGATTTTTGTGCTTTGAAGGCCCCTTAGGAAGCTGTTTGGGGTGCCTTGGGGGTCTTTTGGGCCGTCCTGACGCAATTGGAGTCCCTCTTGGAGCGCTCTTGTGCTGTCTGGGGCCTCCCTTGAGCCTTTCTGATGACCCCTCGGATCGCTCTGGGTCTGCTGGTAAGGCGTTTGTGGAGACCCGGAAAGCCGGGTGACCTTTTCCAAGGACGTCCAAGGGAGCCCGAGAACCCCAGATCCCGGGGGTCCAGTTTTGGGGGGGGGGGCGGGTTTCCCCCCCCCCCCCCCTCCCCAGGCTTGCAAAAATATAGGAAGAGGAATGTATAAACAAGGCGTCGGAGGTCTGGCCCCAACCCCCCTCAAAGAACACCCCAGGACCCGTCGCGGAGCGTGCACCAGCCAAAACTCCGAGGCGAATCCCACCTTGGCGGCGAGAATGGGCGCCCCAGGGGACCCAAAGACTCCAACGTGGACGACGACGACGTCGACGACGGCGGCAGAATTGACTCCCAACCTTTGAGCAGGGACCGACCGGCCCAGCATTCCTATAGGCCTACCACGACATGTTCTCAGAACCACAAACAGTTAGAAAAAAAAGGCAAGGTTAATACCACATAGACCCGATGTGCTAAAACCAAACAGTCCCAGCCAGAAATGTTTTGAAAACAGTTCGTGCAGACCACAAATGGTTCCAAGAACATTCTTTGGTGGGCCTATAGGCGAGCTCGGACGTTTCGCCACTGCTTGAGGCCTCTGTTGACTGCACCGTGAACCAGGGCTCGCCGATGGAGGAGTAGTTCTGGCGGCCGGCCCAGCGGGCCGGTGGTTCGGCGGCAGAGCGGGGCGCCGCACATAGTCCGGCGCCCCGCGTCGTCGTCGTCACCGCGTCGTGGTCGTAATCGCCGACATCGCCGTCGCGGCAGATGACCACAGTCGCCGTGGCGGTGGTCGTCACCGTTCGTCGTGGCTGTCGCGTCGCCGGCCCCGCGTTCGCCGCCGACGACGACGTCGCCGTCACCGTGGCGTGTTCGCCGCCGCCTGCGCCGCCGCCGACGTTGTCATCGCCGCCTCCGCCGTCGTCGCCGCCGTTGTCGTTGTCGCCCCCGTCGTCGTCGTCGTTGTCGCCGTCTCCGCCGTTTTCGCCGCCGCCGCCGTCATGTACTGCCTACTGGCCGTACTGGCCGCCGTCGACCTCGGCCGCCCGCGCGGCGCCGACGCACGAGAGGAGGGTGTCAGCTGTGCGCGAAAGGGATGTCGTAGGGACACCGCGCGGTGCCGACCTCGACGACGACCACGACGAAGCCGACGCCAATGCTGACGACGGCACCGGCGCCAACGCTCAGGACGACGCCGATGCCAACGACGACGACTGCTCTGATGCCGACGCAGACGCCGATGCCGACACCGACGACGACGACGCCCACGACGACGACGACACTCACGCTGACACCGACGCAGATCATAAGGCCCGAAGGGAAAATATTCTGCGTCGACGGCACGGGTACGCGTCGTCTACGAAGTAGTTACTTCTTCGTACCAAGACGCGCTGAGAATACATTCAGTGGCGCGCTCCAGCTTGGCGGCCACGTGGCGCGCGGATGCTGCGCGTCTGCCTCCGCAGACGGAGCAGCAAAGCCACGTCACCCCTCTGCCCTGGCGCGCGCGCGCGCACTGGCGCTCATGCGGCCTACCTGGCGCGCACCACATCGGCTTGCGCACCTGACGTTGGGCTTCCCCGTGGGCGGCGCGTCAAAAAAGCTCCTCTCTCTCGGCCACGCAGCGCCCCAGCAGTGGCTGGGGGCAGACGGCCTTGGGCGAGGCGTTCGCCGCGCTGCCGCGATCGGCGGGGACCCACCCGACCGCGACCCAGAATTGGCTGACCATCTACCCGATTACCAGACCACCCCAAGCCAACCCGAAGACCCGAACTTCGGGTCGGGAGGTGGGTGCGAGTTCCATGCTTGTTTTGTCAAGGTTCACGATGCCCACCCCGCTGGAAGTGGAGGGCACACATGGGGCCTTCGGGGACGGGTTTCGGCGGCTTGGTGGCTAGCGACCGGTGGCCACGCGGCCCGGGGCCGAAGGTCGCAGAGGGCCCCCGCTGCCACAGGGGTAGCGGGCAGTGGCACGACCGTGAGGATGGGCACGGCCGAGTGGCTCTGGTACCTTGGACCATCGATGCAACTCTGGGTGAGATATTAATGGAGGGGTAGGCGACTAACCTTCCGACGGAGCTTGCCCATCCCCACCCCCTCGTCCACCTCCTCCTCCTTCTCCTCCTCAAACTCCTCCTCCTCCTCCTACTACAGTATTCGGCCTGACCTAAGGAACGATAAATAAGGAATGAAGAATCAAGTAAGTCTACGCAGTCCGAAGGAACACCAGGGGGGCTCGCCGCCCAAAAGGTAGCGGAACGCATGCAAACCAAAAGAACGACCGAGCCCCTTTTGAAAAGTAAGGGTTCCTAATTCAAGCCGGATAATATACCCCTCCTTCTCCTCCTCCTGTTCCTCCAACCCCCCCTCCACCCGTGCCGACAGCACGTGCCCAACCCCCCCAGCGGATTCAAGGGGGGGCGATTATGGTCCCATCCAGAGTATCCCGCGCACCCTCCTGCCGATGCCGAGGCATCGCCAGCTCGATGCCTAGGCATCACTGGGTCGATGCATAGACATCGGCTACACAAAGCTGCGGCCAGCTGCGTCCATGGACGCAGCCCTCGATGCATGCGTAGGCATAGCCTTGTAGATGCCGAGGCACCGAGGCGTCGACACGGCCATGCCTAGGCATGCTACGATGATGCGTAGGCATCTAGGCTAGGAGGTTCGAGGTGATGGCTGGTAGCAAAGCGAGCGGGCCCACCCGAAGCGAGGAGCTCTGCGTCTGCGACGCCAGCCTCGGCGCGCGGCGTTCGCGACCTGGTGCCCGCGGAATCCATGGCGCCGTCTGCTTCCAGCGCAGGTGCCTCGCATGCGAGCCCGCCGGGTGGGATGGGGGGGCCGGCCCCTCTTCCTGCCGGCGACGAGTATGGCGTGCTGCCTGGCGCGCCGCGGCGAGCCGGGGGATCTATCCACATCCGCCGCCCGGGAAGCGACGTCCTGGTGCTCCAGCGGGCGGCGGACACGGATAATATATGTTGGCCTCGGGGGGGCCGAATCTGTCCAGATCCTTCGCCTGTGGAGGTCGGCGAGGATCGATCCTCCAGGCGCTGATTGCGGGTAAATGCCCGTCTCGGAGCAGTGCACACGTCCGAGCGATGCCAAGCTGGAAGATTACGCGAGGAAGCGGCCGCGGCGCCTGCGGCTCAGGCAGCTGGGCCGCGCCTGGCAGCAGCGGGAGGGCAGCCCTACGGGCCACGAGAACCCACACTGATTTTTGGCATCCTTCTACGAGTGCCTCGGGCTCAACGCCCAGCCCCAGGCCTACACCCAAGGGAGTGGGCGGGTGGGGACATCGAGGGATGGAACCCCGCATCCCCGTTGGGCCGTGGGAGCCCGGATCATCAGCCACGCGACCCTTCCTGACGAATTTCCCGAGACACTAACCGAAGCTAATGCGGGATGACGATTCATAAAGACATGGGAGAGAAGGATTAAACAAATAGTTTTCTGCTATGTCTGCACAAGTTTCTGACTGGAGGAGAACGATTTAAAACATAGTTTTCCAGCCAGCGGCCGGTGATTTTTCTAATCGCCATCCCGGGCGCCGCCGCGTGAACACGACCCCCGGTCATTTATGAATCGTCATCCTCCACTACGTCTGCAGAAGCAGAGGGCCGAGCCGGTGCCGCCCGCCATTTGGCGCCCGAGTTATCCGGGGTAGCTCGGGCCCGGGGTAACTCGGGTTCGGAATCCCGAAGAGCGAACCCGAGCCAGCCCTGACCCGAGTTACCCCTGATGATTCGGGGCTCTGACGCCAGTCGGCCCGCGCGCACCCGCCGGCCGACGTCCAGGGAGCGCCTCGCTGGGCGGAGAGGGCGCCGTACGGCGGGCCGGGCGGCGGGGCGGCGGCCCCGCTGCCGCGGCGCGCGCAGGGCTCGGCAGGTGGTGGTGGGCGAGGGCCGCCCGCGGCCGAGGTGCCGTGCGCTGGCCGGCGTTCGCTCTCCAGGAGCTCTCTGAAGGGGCCCCAGGGCACACAAAGAAATACACACAAATACAAGGATTTCCCAAATTATTTCCCATGTATATTCTGGGTTTCTGTCTTCCCCCCCACTTCCCATCTTTTCCCACATTTTCTAGGAATCGACGAATAATTGTGTCTGTGTGTTTCTTCCCCTCCTGACTCTCAGTGCTGCGGTCAGCTCGTATCGCAAGGGTGCGCTGCGAGGGTGCAAGGGCCTGGGAGGGCCATGTTCACGCTTTTTCGAGCGAGGCTGGCCAACGAAAGTCGCCAGGGACGGACCGAGGAGGCAAGGATGCGAGGGTAGCGTTGGAAAAGCTGCCCACCCTTGCCATGCGGGTCGACATTAGGGGGAGGGCGCAGGTCCTCAAGATCACCCCAGGGCGGCCCAGATGGCCCTCGAGAGGGCCCCACGTGGCCCCAAGACGGCCCAAGAGAGCCCCACGAGGGCCACAAGACATCCCCGAGAGGCCCCAGAGACGGCGTCCGAAGATGCGAAGCGGCCCAAGAGCGCCCTGAGACGGTCGAAGAGAGCTCCAACATGGTCTCCAAGACAGCCCCGAGACCGCCCCGGCCTCAGGAGGGGAACTCACTGGGAACTCTGAGAGGACCCCCCCCTGGTATTCTCCACAGCTGTCTCCCCGACGGCTGGGAGAACGTGCAGTCCAGCGGCGTGGCCGCCCATTCGCTTGCCGTTTCACGACGCAGGCGCTTCCAGAAGGCAGGGGCCGGCGCTCACTCGCCGCGTGCGTCTTCGATCCCACTTTCCCCCACGGGGCTCTCCGAGAGCGCAGCTCGTTCGATACCGGCCGGTTCCGGGCCGTTGGCTGCGTTGCCCGCGCTGGGGTCGCCGCTGCCCGCGCCCGAGGTGGCGCGGACCCCCGCCCGCATCCCACGCCCCGTCTGATGTACTATGCTGCGTTGCTCAGTCGTGCAGCTGCAACATTAGCCAAATCAGCTACAGGAGCTCACTGCTTCTTCTGTCGGTGAAAGTTTCCAACTGGTCGCAGCACCCGCTGGAGTGGGGGCCTGGACAACTCACTCACTTCCCGCATCGTACGAATGCGAGGCAGGGATTATTCAGATCCTCCGCCTGGGAACCGACATCCTGGTGCTCCAGCGGGCGGTGGATATATGGGTATATGCTGGCCCCCAGGGGCCTGAATCTGTCCATATCCACCGCCTGCCGAGGTCCCGATAATTGATCCTCCAGGCGGTGGTCATGTATTCATTCCCGCCTTGGAACAAAGTATGGCGGCCCGAATCCACGACTTAGTTGGACATTCGACTGGCCAAAACATCTCGGGCCCAACTTATGGATAGACGATGGGGGGCCGTCCACCTTCGCTAGGGGTGCGCCCAGACAGCCCCCAGGGGGGGTATTCGCGAGTTCCCTGTTTATTGTGAGCAATTGTATTTGTTACTGGTTGCGGGGGGGCTCGGAGATGGGACCCCCCTGGCGCGCATCGCGCGCCAAGGAGGGGGATCCAGCGCCGATCCAGAGAATCCGCGCGCACCTCCGAAGGTGCATGCTCCAGCCGCAATATCATATTCGACTGGGGGCCCAGAATCGCATGTGGACGCCCGAAACGGGTACGGAACAAATTATCCTGGCGACGGACCCAACCATATGCAGTTGTGGATACCGCAATTGTGAATATGTTCTTCGGTGGAGCTCCCTATGGGGCCACGAAGCGCTGCACTGGGTGGGGGGGAACGCATGTGGGCGGTAGAACTGGGGCCGTCGGGCGAACTCCCTATGGGGCCACGGAACGCCGTGCTGGGTGGGGTGAAAAATACCAAATTTGCTGTGTGGGACGCATGCGGGCGGTCCCTCTGGTGGCTTCGGTGGAGCTCCCGATAGGGGCCACGAAACGTATGAGGGGTGTGCCACATTTGGTTTCCAGGACGCATGCGGACGGTCCCACTGGGGGCTTCGGTGGAGCTCCCTATGGGGCCACGAAGCGCTGCACTAAGTGGGGGGAACGCATGCGGGCGGTAGAACTGGGGCCGTCGGGCGAACTCCCTATGGGGCAACGGAACGCCGTACTGGGTGGGGAGAAAATGCAAAACCTGGTGTGTGGGACGCATGCGGGCGGTCCCAGTGGTGGCTTCGGTGGAGCTCCCTATGGGGCCACGAAACGTATGAGGGGTGTGCCAAATTAGGTTTCCGGGACGCATGCGGACGGTCCCACAGGGGGCTTCGGCGGAGCTCCCTATGGGGCCACGAAGCGTTGTACTGGGTGGGTGAAAATGCCATATTGGGCTTCCGAGACGCATGCGGACGCTCCCACTGGGGGCTTCGGTGGAGCTCTCTACGGGGTCACGACGCGCCGTAGTGGGTGGTATGAAAATACCCAAATTGTGTTTCAGGGACGCATGCGGACAGTCCCACTGGGGGCTTCGGTGGGTCTCTCTATGGGGTCACGAAACGCCGTAGTGGGTGGGGTGAACATGCCAAATTTAATTTCCAGGACGCATGCGGACAGTCCCAGGGGCTTCGGTGGGGCTCTCTATGGGGCCACGAAGCGCTGTACAGGGGGGGGGGACGCATACAGGCGGTAGCACTGGGACCTTCGCTGGGGTTCCCTATGGGGCCACGAAACGTACTGGGTGTGAGGGACGCATGCGAACGGTAGCACTGGGACCTTACCTGCGGGGCCACGGAACGCTGTACTGGGCGTGGGGGACGCACGCGGACGGTAGCACTGGGACCTTCGGTGGGACTCCTTATGGGACCACGAAGCGCTGTACCGGGTGGGGGGGGACGCATGCGGACGGTAGCACTGGGACCTTCGGTGGGGCTCCCTATGGGGGCTGTACTGGGTGGGGGGGACGCATGCGAACGGTAGCACTGGGACCTTCGGTGTGGGCTCCCTTTGGGGCCGCGAAGCGCTGCGCTGGGTGGGGGGACGCGTGCGGACGGTAGCGCTGGGACCTTTGGTGGGCTCCCTATGGGGCCCCGAAACGCTGTACTGGGTGGGGGACGCATGCGAACGGTAGCACTGGGACCTTCGGTGGGGCTCCCTATGGGGCCACGGAACGCTGTACTGGGTGGGGGGGACGCATGCGGACGGTAGCACTAGGACCTTCGGTGGGGTGGGGGGGACGCACGCGGACGGTAGCACTGGGACCTTCGGTGGGGCTCCCTATGGGGCCACGAAGCGCTGTACTGGGTGGGGGGGACGCATGCGGACGGTAGCACTGGACCTTCGGTGGGGCCCCCTATGGGGCCACGAAGCGCTGTACTGGGTGGGGGGGACGCATGCGGACGGTAGCACTGGGACCTTCGGTGGGGCTCCCTATGGGGCCACGAAACGTGTGAGGGGTATGCTGAAACGGGTGGTGATGATGGAGGAGGAGGGAGAAGGGGGAGGAGGAGAGGAGAGGAGGAGGAGAGGAGGAGAACGCGGGGTAACGTCTCTTCAAAACGATGACCCAACACCACAGGATGGTTGGGAATGGTACGATGTCCAACAGCACATGTTGTCCAAACCAACCGCGGCCATTGTCAATGCTGTCCAGGCGGCCTCCTCTCTCAGGTGGACTATGGCCCGCGGCGGCACCGACAACAAGTTCTGTTCAGAATGAACCGGGAACGCTGTCGGTCTTTGTGCCCATTGTTTCCGTAACCCCCTCGATCGTCCCGATCGCATGTGATGATCCGAGCCCCCATCGCTCCCTCTGTGGCTGCAGCCGCCATGGCTAGGAGCGTCTGCGGCTGGCAGGGGCGTCCTCGATCGCGCTCTTGACGCCGGCCTCGTCACCCCAGGCCGTCTGCGTCGTCCAGGAGGACAGCTCGGTCGCGGCCCCTGCCCGGGGGCGTGAAGTCAGGGGGCAAATCCTGGAGGGCCTCCTCCTCCTCCTCCTCCTCCTCCTCCTCCTCCTGCTCCTCCTCCTCCTCCTCCTCTTCCTCCTCCTCTTCCTCCCTAAGTTCGTCCTCCTCCTCCTCCTCCTCCTCTTCCTCCTCCTCCTCCTCCGCCTCCACCTCCGCCTCCACCTCCTCTTCCACCTCCTCCTCCGCCTCCTCCCTCCTCGACCTCCTCATCCTCCTCTTCCCCCTCCTCGGGAGCAGTTTGGGACGCCGAGCCCGATCGGGTGGCTGCCAAGCCACATCGGGCCACATCAAAGGAAGCTCGACTTAGCGGCTGGCGCCGACGCTGCACGTATAAGCTCTCAGGCATGCAAGGAGCGTCGCTCCTGAGAAGCTCCTGGCTCAGGGCGTCCCTAGCTCTTCACCCCACTCTGGAGCCGCCGGGGCCCTCCCGGCCTCGCGAGGGGCGCCCCGGCGACCGCGGGGGAGCCCTCTCCCTGGACCCAGTCCTTGGGGCACCTCTGGGTCCAGAGACGCCTCGGGCAACGTCCGAAGAAAATCCATTCGGGCATTCATCCAGCCAAAAAAAGCACTGCGAAAATACATATGCCACGACAGATCCATTGTGCAAGTTGACAGCGGCGAGGCACCGGCTGTGCTTCGACGCGGAGCAGAGCGGCAGCTGCAGCCAAAACGTGTACGAAGGACGGGTGGCAAGGACGCAAGACCCTTGGAGGCCGAAGTTGGGAGTTTTCGGGCGGCGGGCGACAACTGAAAACGGCAACGGGGGGGCCGCAGAGGCAAGGACACTCGGGCACCCTGGATGAAATCGCGCCTTCTTACTAGGCGCGTCGACTGTAGATCGGAGGACAGAAAGGAGAGTGGAAGGATGGGGGAGGAACTGGCGCCCGTAGAGGAACGTCAAGAGAGAGCTCAAAGCAAGCAGGACAAGAGGACCCTGGTTCAGCTTCAACGGGGAGAAGCAGAGCGAGAGTGGAGGACAGAGAGGAGGAAGAGGAGGAAGCAAGGAGGGCGGGGGAGCTGGTGGTAATTGGGAGGCGACGAGTCGTAAAACTGTGAAGGAGCACGGCTCCTGTATCAGCCATAGGAGCCGGCTACATCGAAAAGGCGCTAATTACCTGAAGAAAGGTGGTGGGGGACGACAAGTCGCAGAATGCGAGGGCTGAGCTTACTTGTGCCTCCTCCTCCTCCGCTGCAACTGTCGCTGCCGCCGCTCCCTCCCCCTCGCCCATCATTCACCCAGCCAGCCATCCGCGCCCGGGCCAGACGACGCCGCAGGCGCCGCCGAAATGGGGGCCTTGGGAGGACGCGGAGGCCGAGGCGGCCGCCGTTCTCATCAGGCCAGAGGAGCCCGAGGAGGCTCGTTCCCCCCCCCCCCCTCCCCAACAGGTGACCCTCACAGAAGAGCAGCTCGCGAGAGCGCAGGCAAGCGGAGCTGCTGCCAGAGAGCGGAGGCGCAAGCATCTAGCGCCATGGGCCAGTTCTCTCGAATTCAAACCTTGACAGGCTCAGATGGGTTTTCCGTGGGGCCTTGTGCAGCTGCCCCCCGGTTTTCCCATCAAAGGTGTGATGTGGGCACGCACTGACTGCAAGGCCACCGTCCACCACCACCATCGCACTCCAGCCCAAGCCTCCCCCCTCAGTCTAAGACGAAGCCAGGACGAGGATACAATCAGGCGAGGATACAATCGAGAATCTCTGAGAACCGGCGGCCCTGGAAGATGAATCGGGCGCCGCGGCCTTCTCAGAGCGTTCCGGAACGCTCTCAAAACGCCCTGGAAAAGACTTATCCTCGTCCTCGCCCAGACTTGAGCAGGGACCGACCGTCCCGGCATTCCTATAGGCCTACCGCGACATCTTCTTAGAGCCCAAAAATGTACGAATAATAACAAACAATGTTCTCAGAACGTAAACCCAATGTGGTAAAACGAGGCGGTCCCAGCCAGAACTGTTCCACGAACAGTTTGTGCAGACCACAAAAGGCTCTCAGAACATTCTCCGGTGGGCCTATAGTCGGGGAGACGTAAGACTCGTCGGGTACGGGGGACTCAGGTTGGCCTGACGGGGCCACCATAAAAATGACGAGACCCAACCTGAAATTTGACGCGAGCTCCCGCTGCAAACATCCAACGAAAACTGGACCGTCAAAATCCAGGACGCGCTCGTCCAAAGATGTCCGCTAACCCGAGTTCCGGCTGACTCGAGTCTCACGCTGCCCCGATATATAGGCGAGCCAGGACGCTTCGCCGCTGCTTGAACTCCCCCCCCCCTCCCACCCGGAGGAGCCAGCAGCAGGAAGGCCAGCGCAAAGGCGGCCGACACGCGGGGGAGCGGGGGGAGCCAGACACCGCGCGCCTGGCTCGGTGCCGCCCTCGGCGCGGAGGACCTCGCCACGGCCGCGCGGCCGCGCCTCTCCCGTCCACCCCTCCTCCCTCCTCCCTCCTCCCTCTCGTCCCTCTTCCCCCCCCATTCCTCCTCCTCCTCCTCCTCCTCCTCCTCCTCCTTGTCCTCGTCCTCTTCCTCCTCCTCCTCCTCCTCGTCCTCGTCCTCCTCCTCCTCCTCCTCCTCCTCCTCCTCCTCCTCTCCTCCTCCTCTCTCCCTCCTCCTCCTCCTCCTCCTCCTCCTCCTCCTCCTCCTCCTCCTCCTCCTCCTCCTCCTCCTCCTCCTTACTTCCTCCTCCTCGCCTACGCAAGAGTGGCCCTGGGAACGAGAGCAGCAACCTTTGGCGCGCGGCTTTAGGGGGGCCGCGGGAAGGCCACGTCCCAGCGCGCAGGCCGGTGCTCGGGGGACTCCGGCT